CCTCTCTCTCTCTCTCTCTCTCTCTCTCTCTCTCTCTCTCTCTCTCTCTCTCTCTCTCTCGCTCTCTCTCTCTCACACACATTACCTCCTTTCTCTCTATTTCTCGCTCTGTCTCCTCCTCTCTTTCTCTCTCTTTCTTTCTCTGTTCCTCTCTTTTGCTATCATCCCCTGTTTTTCTCTTTTTCTCTCCCTCTTCCTCCCCTTCTCTCTTTCCTAGAAGAGAATACGGCCGCTCGACTTAATCTCCGAGAGGACACGGCATGGTTCTAACTACACTAAAAATCGGTTAGCAAGGTCTATCGTAACCAAGATATCCTCACATAAAGTACAAATTAAGTCCGAACTTTTAGGATGTTATAAATAAAGTTCGTAAGAGAGTTATGGCATTTTAACGCCGCTGTGTATGGCGCACGAAAATACCCGACTTGGATAATTTCAGTTCTATAAGTATCTACCAGCTATATAATACCAACACACAGATGATGTATTACGATTTCATATTGAGCGATTTCCGCGAGATCGTAATTAACTCTTTAACGACTTTATTTTGGTACAATAAAGTAATTTTGAAGACTGAGATCTATTTACTTCATTCCCAGAGTAAACACGCGGCTTCGCCGTCGCGCGCCGAACCGGTAGGAACGAACGATCGTATCGTTTGGCAAGGAACGGGCACGTGTACCTAGAGACTTCCTCCTAGAGTACTTCCTAAGTGATTGTAAAAGAAAATGTACTCGCGTTTAATCAAACCGCTCCGCATGACGTTGACGCGTTAAAGCGAATCGTAATAATAATGGAATCAACGTCGATCCGGTCTTCTGGTATCGCGTACCGTCACGAAGAGACGTCTCCTTCTCGCCTTGTGCACGCTCTATGTTGTCATGTCGATATCTCTAAATATTTATTTCGAATTTACTGGAAAAAATAACAAGCAAAGCGAGTGCTTTCAGCAGAAGATTCTTGTGAAAAATTAATTGCGCTTCACAATTAACCCGCTCCGAACTAACGAGTTAGGAAATATTAGGAATTTATTAGCAAGCCATCTTGCTGCCGTATACACTTTGCGTTCTGCGTCATTTATTTACAAGCCTTTATCACACTTATTCAGAAATTCACTAATATATGTATCGATATTGCTGTGAGATTGACGAAAATGAATTTCTCCTATGTTAAACATTTGATGTCCAAGAATTATGACTTAACGGTAACATAATAATACATATATGTTCCAACTATCACAGGCAGTTTTGTACTTTCATTTTCCATACCAAATCAAATATTAATTATTCGTTAAGAAAATATTTAGTACTAGAAGTATATTATCTTTCACATTTGTAGAAAGATAAATAAGCAAAAATGCACTCACATACACACGCGCGCGCGCGCGCGCGCACACACATACATATATATTATGTAGTGTGTATCAATTATTAACAAATATCATAAAGCATTTATGAAAATATATATACCTCTTATTCGCGAAACATACCTCTATCCAAGAGGTTCCTATCTTTCCACAAAATATTTAGTCTATAAAATAAGTAGACATAATGTTGTCTTTCTAGGCAGACTTATAACTTTATCATAATAACAAATGTTTATATGTATGAAAAGGGAAAACACGCGCATCTCTTGCAAATTACAATATTTCTTGCAAGAAATATGATCGATGTGCTGTGTCGCTACGATCAACTATGTGTGAACTACGGTGTACTTGTAATTATGTATACATTACAAATTCGGAGGATACCATATATTATTAGATTATAAATCTGAATTTAACAATATCGCGTTCACAGAATCTAAATGCTTTACGTAAGACTGATCGTTTATCTTACGTGTTACAAAATTATTAAAGTGTAAATTATCTGTTTGTAATGATACTACCTTCGTTGCAATTTCTTGCGGAAATGCTTTTGTTTGGATACTTGGATCCATTACAGCTATTACCTTCAACGGGACATTTTCCGCAACTCTAACACTTCTGTCATTTATATATACAGGAATTTTTTGGATGTTCGAACCATTGTCGACAGCTAAGTATTTTACAGGTTGAGTGACATTTTGCAGTAACACTGCGCGATGCTGATCGTCGATCGCTTTTGGATACATATATAAATCATCTTTTTGCCTCAGTGTTAACAACGGCACATTTTGCGTAGAGTTAGACAAATTAACGCAATTATCTACGCTGTTATTATAGCCTCTTGTGTCGTATAAACTTTCAGGCTGTGCAATTTCTTTATGAAATTGATGCGCTTGTTCCTTATATTTACGTGGACAATTGGCAGAATCGAAATAAATATATTGTTCGTTGCAATGACACGCATTTTCATTAATTTGATTCTTGGTATACTTTAAGTCTGTTTTACCAAATCGATTTTCCTGACATGATTCTATAGATCTTTTTTCGGCTTGAATATTTTGGGCAATATTTATTGACGGTATTACTCTGTCGCTAATATTATTAAAAAGGATATTTTGATTTTGATCACGAATATTTTTTCTATAAAGCTCTTGCTTGTTGGCTTCGTACACATGTAATTTAGTTTGTTCAGGAAACTGTTTTGTTGGCTCTACGTTGGAATTAGATAAACTTGCGTTTCGAAGGTAATTAATCGAATGATAATTACTTGAATGATGATGTTTTCTTATGTCTGATGAGATTTGTTCTTGAAGTAATTTTTCAGCACACGCATTTGTATTACATGAAACTTTAAAAGATCGCGGATACAAAGAATCATTGTATCGGTAACATTCATTTCTTTCGTTATATTCCTTTGGATGCATATTTATATTAAATTGTTCGACTTGAGATTCTTGCGAATCTTTTATTTTCATCGATCCAATTTGAGGCTCTAATATTTTAGTTTGATCAATCATCGCGTTTACAATCCTAGGCGTAGAAAGATTTTTGAATGAATTTGGAAGTGCAGTTTTACATAATTCTTTTTCGATACCGTTGCTTCTATTAAATAGATTAGTTTCATATTTTTTAGATAAGCCTTCCACATCACCATTAATCTGTACAACATGATTAGACTTATTAATGGGAATATCGATACATCGACGTAGGATGGTAGGTACTCGTTTAACATTCTTCACATCACACTTATTTACTGTTCGGTTATCATATTTTTTAGGTACATTGTTCAGTGCACAATTGTTGGGAACGGTAATCGGTAATTTTTCACGGCAATAATCGTTTGAAAACTGTCTCTTTGATAATACAGGATCACTTAAAAATATTGATTTTTCTAAAAGTATTAAATCATTATCAATGTGTTGTGAATTTTTATAATTAGGAATGTCAATATAAAAATTATCTTTATCATGCCGTTCATTTTTACAAAAATGATCAACGCAGTTAGGATTTTTCTGAGAATCCAATTGTGCTAAATCTTTTTCGTTTATGACAAAAAGATTTGTTGATTTCGCAAGTTGACAAACGTTTTCAGATTGTTTCGAGTACTGATTATCGTTATTTTCGCAATTTTCGACAACGGGACCATTTGTGTTATTTGTAACAGTTTTTCGTAATAAACAAGAAAAACTAAAACCCATTGTGCCATCGTGTTTTTTAAGCTTAGTATCTTGTACTAAATGGGATTTGTTATCTTTGTGAAGTAGACCTTCTTGAAGACGAGCTGCGATAGTATGGTTTTCGCTACACTTAGGAACTTCGAATTCAACAGGTGATAATTGCGAAATATCCGAAGATACACAAGCTTGATGTTCTACAGAGTATGTAGAATCTAGATTTTCCAATTCTTGTTTTTTCTTTCTGCGCAAAAGTTGTTGACGAAAAGAATCAGCATAAGCATGTTTTAATTTATTAATTGTTGATGTAAGAGGATCTATTACAAATAATAGTTATAATTAATAAATTACTGGATAAGATAAATAATCACAGGTTATACAATTACTCTAAATATATATAATATACCTGAGGGATAATTTGGTAGAACATCTGCTTCAAAATTTTTAGCAGAGATTTTGCAGAATTCCATATAGCGACTTAATGGGTCACACAATAAATCTTTGTCGTTAGTTTTTTTTTCGTTTGTAAGGTCAGTGTCATCAAATATTCTAAAATATTTGATTATCATAATACAATATTTTTTTTATTAGGACTTAATAATCATGTTACTTACTCTGTTGAAGTAGTAGTAATAGTTTCTAACAGCTCTCTATCATTTTGGAACAGTCTTCGTTTACATATATCTTCTTTTTGAACATGTCTTGATTTGTTATTGATATTTTGTTTTTTAGTTTTACTGAAATCTGTGTCTTCGAAGATATTTTCTTCACCTTTCTTTTTAGCAAGATACAGCTTCTGATTTTGACTGTAATATTAATATGTGTGCAATCTTTAGATAAAACCTTTTCTATATTTATATAAAACAAGTTTTACACACCTTTTTATTTAAAATAACAAACATACCTTTGACTTTTTCCTAAAATAGGACTTAGCTCCTGATTACACAGGTCAACCAATTCCAATTCTAAAGTATTTTTTATACAATCTTTATTTGCTGATTGTTTAGCAGTTTCATTCTTTACTGGTATCCCTGTTATATCCCTGTAAAATAACATGTAGAAATCAATATTTAGCAATTTGTGATACGTTATATCAAACTTATAAATCAGTAATTTATTTACTTGGATTTAGGAGTATCGCCATTGAGAAGTTTCAACGCATCTGCATTTAGCCGGGCTTTATGGTATGTATTTTCCATTGTTTCTGCTGTAAAATATTACAACAGATTAAAGCAATCGTATCATTTCATTCTGCTTGTTAGAATAAATGAGTTTCAATATGGATATTACCTTTTTGGACATCTTTACCCTTTGTACCATTTCTGTATATGCCAGAGGCCTGGAACAATAGTGTTCAGATATATGTAATAAATAATAGGAATATTATTGAGATAATAAAAACAGGATTATATATATTAGATAATATTACTCACAAGTTCTGGCAAAAGTCTATTGCAGATTTTTGATCGGCCTTGCTTTTTCTGTTCTTTCTTATCACTCTTTCCAAAATCATCCTGTAATAAATTCCAAGCTATATTATATCAATCACAAGAATAATATCATCAAAAATAATGCAAATTACATTTCTTCCAGCAGTAACTTAAAAGTATAAAAAAGTTCTCTCTTTCTAGAAGGCAGTTTCGCAGATTACGAGAGTTCTACGAGATTACTTGGCCACGATCTTAGCTAAACTTCACTGAGAGCATAACGCATGTTAATGGTCTCGATCGAGCTACGCAAACGAAGGGATTACCGTTCACGAGGACCGGTAAACAATGCCAGTAAACACCCGACGTTGATACTAACCTAACACTTACGGAAGCTACCGCGCGCGTCTCCACGCCACCTAACTCTAACCAGCGCGGCACTTTTTGAAACGGCGTCTGCCGATAATCGCAGAGATATCGTCGCTTTTTGCATACAAAAATCTAATCGTGAATCAGAAAGCATTGTAGTGAAAAGATCATGCTTATGCAACGAGCGCGACTATCACATTTAACGAATCTATCACATGTATGGAGTATCGCTACATTCGCGACTTGTTTTCACACAATAGGTCTGTTTTTTATTTTTGCACTGCAAACTTTCTTCCTCGTTTTCACCAAAATCGCAAACACACATACACACACATGTATATATATATATATATATATATTTCATCTTAGGCTTTCTCTTATTTAATTAAATTTACTTTACTCCAAATTCTAAAAGTGCAAGTATATTAAAGTTCAGTTACAGAAAACAGACCTAATACATGGTTATCTAAAGATTAAAGGTTATTAAGAAATTCATTAATAAAATTCATTCATGAATTTCTTGGTAACCTTTAATTTTTAAATAATCATGTGTATTACTAAAAGGAGCCTAAGTATCTTCGTCGTCCTTGGGATGTTTAGTGCGTCAAGGTCGTAGTCATCTCAAGGATCGAAGTGGAGTCGAAAAAACACGACCTACCAGCTTCCGCTTGGCCTGCAGGATCCTCGAGTGTAACTTATCGAGGTCCTTCTTCCGTCGTTTCCTCTGCGGCTTCTCTTGGTCGGTGGATCTCCGCGTTATTCTGCCCATAATCTCGCGTAACAATGTCCGGAGTAACTCGCGCGAGTTACATACGTGTATATGTAGCCACACGCATTGTCAATATCGCCTGCGGTGACAAAACATGAATACTGAATACTGATGCGCAGCGGTGCACGCTAATTAATAACGACTGATGAATACCTTCACGTATGTTTATTTATCCTCGCTTTCTCGTAGTACGTGAATTACGAAAAATTCTTTTCTTCTTGTGTCTATATGACGTCATCGGGAATAGGCTTAGAGAGGGAGAAGTAGATTATAGTTTGTAATTCCGGCGCAAGAGGTCGTTTCTTTTTCTTTAAATAGATGGCACCTGCCACCAAATAAAAGAGGGGGAGGGGAGGAGGGAAAGGGTTCGTTTCAAATGGGGCGATATGTGGATGTCCTAAGATCGGAACGTAGACTTTGTATAAATATTTATAAGATTTATTTTTAATTTTTTATCTTAGATTGCATAGATTATAAACATTTATTACAAATATTATAAAATATTTATTATAAATGTTACAGTAAATGCTATGAAAATACTTAATAAGGCATTATAATCCAAGTAAAAAATATTTATTTATATACATATTTGTCATAAGTATAAAATATTTTTATTTTAGTCTATATTTTAATAATATTTTAAATAAAACTTTATATAAAATATTTATATAACATTTAAAAAAAAAATTAATAGTAATAAATATTTATTATAAATATCCTGTGCTGTCTGGATAGATAATATATAAGTGAATCAAAATTAATTAAAATTCTTTCTTTCCTTTCATTGCAAGTGCTTTACGAGAGTGTTGAGCTTTATAAATAATTAAACATACAATATTTATATATTTAATTTGTTATACATGGTACACTTCAAGAAAAATACACTTTTGTTATTTTGTTTATAAATCAGACTTCTGCTTTTCTGTGACATTTTACCATATAGTGACATTTCATCCTACGAGATGCTAAAAATATTTAATTGATCGATTTGAATGTATGTATTTCGAATAGCTACACGATGTTTTTAATACGTAACATTAATTTCATTTTTTTATGATGATCTACAATTTTACATTTACTGTTTCTTAACTCAACATCTTGACTTGATAATGATAAGATAATGATAAGAGTTTACAATAACATTTATATATAACAAATTATATAATCTAATAAAAGAAAGAATATAATTTGTAATACAATACAGGTCAAAGCACACACACATGCACCCCCACACACACACACACACACACACACACATACACACACATCATAGGTTAAGGGACGTCTAATGACGTCTTATCGATTAAACGCTTAATTTTTGTATAATAATTAATTTCTCCTTTTCTATTAAATTCGAAAATTCTTTTCCAGGATGAAAGTATACGCATTAATATGTGTCTGTGAGGTAGAGTTTTTAGAATTGAGCTTAGACGCGTTTAATTAAAACTTTATTATTATAAAAAAATTCATGTGTATGTGTCCGTGAGATAATGATGTAGCAGTACATATAGTGATGTGTCAATGACACGTAAATCGTCTGTATGTAAGTCCTACTTACACTACGATTTCTAATCATTTGTAAGATACCTTAAGAATTAAACATTTACCAAATATGATGACAAATGACGTCCGTTCTTAAGAATATTTATGTATGTACATACTTTCACATTAAATATGTTGATCTTATTTAACTGTAGATACATTAATATTATGGTATAAATTAACTGAATTGATTGAGAGAATTGGGGTTAAACTATTTGAACGTGAATAAGTCATAGTGACGTGGGCAAAATTTGTGGAAACAATACTACATGAATAAATATAATATTAATTACTGAAAAATGTGCAGTACTAATTATCTCGTCGATGTCATTCTCATTTATCTACATTTTTGAAATAGCGAGAAGCAAATGCTTGTACACGCATGCACATAGTAATAAAAACATATATATTTCTGAAAGAAAATTCAAAACAATTTATTAAATAAAAGATTGACCAAAAGTTATATTTCACAGAATAAATTTTTTATATCTTATTGTTAATCAAAATAGATATATAGGTTACGTTAAAATTCAAGACGAGACGTAGGGGCTCGGATGGCGAATGTTGTATAAATGTAAATGAAAAATGTAACCGTTTAATTTCGGTCGCAAAAAAAAAGATCATTATTTTTACGCATCTATGATTGCTTTGCGAAATTGGCTTCTCGCTGTGCAAACAACTGTAGCGAGTTAATGAATTGCAAATAATATTGTAGTCTGCAATATATAACGTATGCTCATCAGAAGTATAAAATCTAAAATTCTATTTCAACTTCTAATGAATCAACAAAGCGCGCGTTTTTATGTTAAGTTATTCGATAACACATTCGATGATCGATAAATCGGACAGATATAATCACGTAATCATTCCGTCGTCGTGTTGTGAGAATCACGTGTTAGACCGCGATGGCTTTGTTCGATTGGGGCTTTGGAATGAAGAGAAAGCATGTTGTGACTCAGATCTTTGTCAGTCGACCGTCAAGTGAAGTTCGTGTCATTTTCTGTCCACTTTTACGTCATTCACTGCACGCGTGACGGATAAATTATCCGTCACGCGTGCAGTGAATGACGTAAAAGTGGACAGGGAATTTCAAACTGTTTGCGTAAATTTTACAGATGAGAAAAATTAAAATATACATTACGAGTTAAGGTACTTTTCCACATATTGCTTCTCGCTAGTTTTTAAGCGATAAATAGGTCACGCAACTGATAATGACTAATTCAGTCATGTGATCTTATCGCTATAAAAACGAGCGATGGGCATTCGTGTCCTTTTACGAGACACGACCACAATTGCCATCTTTCGACTAGTGTTTCTCACTGGAGACGGAGTTTTCACTATCCTGCCAGAGATCGATTACCAATATCGAAATTTATTTTGTTGCTTATAAAAAAAAAACATACTAGGCTATCAGATCTAATCCTTTTACGGGAGATAGCTTTCTAAAGACCGGAGAAAAATCGACGCGCGCATTTAAAAAATGTCATTAAAATTTTGAGTGGTCAGTCGGAGATTTTTCAAAAAAAATCGGAATCTCTGACCGAAAACTGGAGAGATGGCAATCATGGATATGTGGATGTATCCTCAAAGAGTGCGTAATGCGGCCTATTTGTGATTAATCTGATGCAGACAGCACGGCTGCATCCCGCGCGAGCGGTTTGTTGACCTAGCTTGTAGATAATAAGGCAGATAAAGGAGATGGTGAGAAAAATGTTCCACTGCTGAAGATGGCTTTGACGCCTCTTTCGTCATCGTCCATCGCCTACATCATCCGTCGCCTCCTACTTCAGTTCACCCCCTACGGCACAGACTTTCTGCGTGTCGTGTGATTAAGCACGATTGGCGAGAGAAGTTCCGAGTATTTGAGCGTCTGTGACACGCGGATGTAGAACAAAGTCGTGACTTCGCAACGAGGCAGTCTTCTCTTTTTCGTCTCTTTCTCACAGGCGCTTTTTCTCTCGTAAATTTCTCTGGTTTTCACGCGGATTAGTGAAAGATCTTGATCCAGTGTTTACGTCGCAGTACAGTGCCACCATGGGCTTGGAAAGGTGAGTGAGATCTTTCGTTCCTTTGTGAGGTTTTCATTAAAGGATTTCATCTGGCCGCTTGTTGTGGACTTCGGGTATCATCTCTTTTTTCACACATGTATTAAAATAAAGAATTTATAAAATATAGCTACTCTGAAATAAAATTTACTAACTCTTAATAGATATTTATTAAATAAATATTTGTTTACATTTAGTAAACATTTACTTAGAAGTATTCAAACAAATATTTAATAAATTTTAGTATTTTTTTTTTTAGTGTAGAAACACATGATGATTTAGATCTAGAATCTAGATATTTGACGAACACGATTGCGATCTATTATATCTGTACAACTTACTTTTTATCTGAGATTACTTTGCTCTTTTATTTGTTTTATTTTATTCGATAAGTTAAGCCTTCAGATGATAAACGTAACAATCTTGGATATTTTATAATTTATATCATAATGTTGTTATCGCAATTAAATGTGTCAGTTTATAAAAACGCAGAAGCTTATGCAAAATATCTTAGTTTTAATATCTTTACATTTTATAATTCTGAAATATAATTTTAAAAATAAAATTTATGAAATAAGTGATTGACAAGAATTGATCAAATCATAACATTATTACAAATTTCTTTCTCATTCAAAATTTGGGATTGAAAATATTTATAATAGGATTGTAGAGATTTATTTATAAGTTCATATTGAAGTTTTGGCGTATTCGTTGATTACTTTCCTAAAATTAATTAGTTACGAATAACTTTTGTACGCGGTACGTTTAATCAATTTCGTGAGTCACTATACGCACATTCAGCAGAAATCGGTACTTAATTATTTTTAGTGTTTTGCGTCGATTGAATTATATATTTTCAGATTTAGAGGAATAGTCCTATAATAGCAAGAAAAACTTCCAACAGATGTAAAATGAATACTCTGTTGAACATGGATATTGTATAACCGAAGTTGATGTATGTGTAAAATTTTTGTCTATACATATTACAATAAATTTAATTTAAATATCGTGGATATTTTCAACGTGTGCATGTGAAGAGTGGAGTGCCAATTTCTAAATTTAATGTATTTAACGGGATTGTAACTTTGTGCGGCCGAACAAATGCGGAACAGTGCGTTACTGGATAAAAATATCAAAGAGGGGTATTGAACTGCATGCGCTGAAACGTAAACGAATAAACATATCATTAAATTGACCGGTTGCGCGCCAATTATTACGTCGGCGTTATTTTCCAGGCATAATTTTACAAAGTTAAAAATATCAAACCAATTTTGCCAAACGCAGGAAAAATACTCCTGTTAACGCTCGATAATGTTGCATTATTATGTCATAACGAAATGACAGTTATAAATTTAACATCCGCTTCTCCTCGTATACAAAGCGACTAACAATCTCATTCTTATCAATATATTCATAAATTCGCCGCAGCCATCAACGTCGATGTAATTATTTTTGCATAAAATACAAGTTACATATTCAAGGCGAAGAGTGGCAAGTACACGCCGAACCAAGTTCAAGAACTGAGTTGCACGTCGTTAAGATAATGTCAATACTTATGTATATTAGTGTATGCAAGTGTATATAGAGTTATATAGAATGTCATGCAAGCGTCAAATAT